AAGACAAGAAGACAAGGCACACTAAAACTGGATGATACTGCGACAGAGTTGAAATGATTTTGCACTTTTCATTTCTAAAATAAATAAATAATAAAAATAATAATAATAATAAATTGAATGAGAATGACCTGTATATATTTTATTCTGTAGCACTGTATGGCTGCTAATAACATATTCCATGAAGCCAAAAATATTTTAATCATGGTCATTGCAAGTAACATTCCCTTTCAGATAATAACCAATTGTATTTCACACTATTTGTTTGTTATCTATAGTATAAATGTGTCTGTGTTGATTGTGTGGAAGGTTGTGGTGTGAATCTGGGCATGAGAGGACTGGAGTCACTGGGAATGTTCATCTACAGAACGGCCACGGCACTGGACCAGAATGACGTGTTTGAGGCGCTCTCGGCCAAAATCCAGCACTCCAGACACGTGGCAGAGACTTTCAGGAAGAGCGGACTGGCCTCGGCTGTGCTTGAATGACCCTGAGTGTGTTTGTGTGACAGAGAAAGAGTGTGTGTGTGTTCTGAGGCGAGTTATAAACTAGAACACGTAATGCTTACAGAATTATGATCTGTTTTGTGATCGTTTTTTGGAATGTTGAGTATTGAATGCACATTAGAGTGGCCAAAGTTTGCATTTAATTTGTGGGGGGGAAAGTTTATTGGTGTAATGTGATGGTAAAATTGATACGTTGCGTTTTTGAGTAGTTTAAACATCTTGATAAAAATAAGAATTGGAGACTGATCCAGCCTAGAATGACCACAATCCTAAAGAAACCCTTACTGAAGATACAGTGACCTTTAGACATATTTGGACACTTGCAAAAGTATAAAAGCCACTGCATTAGATAATAAAATACCAAAGCAAGTGTCCTAATCAGTGCAGTGTTAGCCTTAAAGGAATAGTGCACCCAAAAATAACAATTTGCTGAAAATCTACTCACCCTCAGCTCATCCCAGATGTAAATGAGTTTGTTTCATCATCAGATTTGGAGAAATGTAGCACTACATCACTTGCTCACCAGTGGATCCTCTGCAGTGAATGGGTGCCGTCAGAATGAGAGCTGATAAAAACATCACAATAATCCACACCACCAAGAGAAATCCACCATTAAGGCATTTTAACTTTAAACGGTCACTTCTGACCAAAAATACGAGTCCATAATCCATAATAATGCTTCAGCCAGTGAAAAAGTCCATCTCCTGTTGTCCTCTCACATCAAAATCCACCCACATATTTGTTTAAAGCTGTTTTGACTTGTAAACTGTGCTTTATTTGTGCAGATTTCTCTCCTGATTCATCGGAGATGACTTTTTCACTGGAGAAAGCAATACTAAGGATTATGGACTCGTATTTTGGTTAAAAACGTTTTAATGATGGATTTGTTTCTTAAATACATGCAGCTTTTGGCTTCACAAGACATTAACTGATGGACTGGAGTGGTGTGGATTATTTGTGGATTATTGTGATGTTTTTATCAGCTGTTTGAACTCTCATTCTGACGGCACCCATTCACTGCAGAGCATCCACTGGTGAGCAAGTGATGTAGTGCTACATTTCTCCAAATCTGATGAAGAAACAAACTCATCTACATCTCTGTATTATTCAAAAAATATTTTCATTTTTGGTTGCTATTCCTTTCATCTCAGATGACAGCTCACCAACACTGTGCAAATGACCTCCACTTCAGTTTAGTGTCAGGAAGTGTTTCTCATAGATCTTCACTGTCTGTGAATATGGAAAATATGGATTTTCAGCATGCTTCTGTGAATCACTAACAGCATCACTGGAAAGAAATTGATCAACAATCAAACAAACTAAATGACTCGTCAGATCAGTAGAAATTAAGTGCCTGGCAGAATTACATTCAGTTCATATTACATAGAAAAATGTCTATTTATTTTGTGATATTTGTTAATAAAATAAAGTGTTTGCATTCTAATTCTGCATTCTTTCTTATTAATGTATATACTTGAGTATTTAGTGATTTGAATCAGGGTTATTATAGTTAACATCAACTAAAACTAAGACTAGATTAAAAAAAACATTACCTGAACACACACACACAGGTTTGTTTTTATGGTTTATGGGGACTCTCCACAGGCGTAATGGTTTTTATACTGTACAAACCGTATTTTCTATTGCCCTACACCAACCCTACCCCTAAACCTACCCCTCACAGGAAACTTTCTGCATTTTTAGATTTTCAAAAAAACTCATTCTGAATTATTTATAAGCCTTTTGAATTACAGGGACACTGACAATGTCCTCATAAATCACCTTCTCGTTGTAATACCTATGTCATACCCATGTTATTATACAAATTTGTGTCCTCATAAACCACACAAACATGCACACACACACACATACACACACTTTATTTCAAACAGTTAAGGCAACATTTTTCATGAACCCTCACACTGTCAGAAGTCAGGCGATGATGACCTCTAGTGGACAAATGTCGAATGTGGATTGGGTTCAAGAAATGATGAAAAGCTAATAATTAAATTATAAAAACTGAAAATTGAAATATATATTTTTAAAGTATAACAATCAAATAAAATGAAAGTTTTGTAAAAAAAAAAAAAAAAAAAATGTAATTGAATGCGTGATGTTATTTTAGAATTGTGTATATACTATTATAGTATTCATTATTATTTTGAAGTAGATTTTATTTGTATATTTTCAGTTTAATTTTCAGTTTATTTTATTAGTTTATTTATATTTCAGTTTTAGTACGTCAGCTTTTTTTAAAACTGCGTGGGCTGTATTTAAATATTGCATGTTCCTTTATGTATGTCCTAACATATATACACAGTACCAGTCAAATGCAAGATGTTATATCCCGTTTCAACATTTCATATGTATTCATTGTAAATGTAAATACTTTAGTAATTTATTATCATTTATGAGTATACTTTAGTGCAGTTTCAATACTTTACTAATTATAATTTTCTTCCTTTATCTTCTCTTGATGAATAACAATTTATTTACAAATTCATCAAGGCACATTTATCCAAAAGTTATATTTATACTGTAACGACGTCTGTACATCTGTGTAATGCTGTTGTAATAATTCCTATCAGAAAAGACTAATGACATCCTCATTGTTAATTATAAAAATTATTTACATGAAGAATTTCCAAACTGACTTTCTAGTAACTTTACAGTTGAATCACAGTAAATAATTTCCCCTAGTGTGATTAAAAACACTGAATCTGAAACGTCTTTCATAATTTGCTTAATCTGCGATTCAGCATGTCTTTAAACCCAGAAATGGGATTTTCCAAGTTAAAGCCGACCTAAAAATCAGGCTTCTTTCCGAGGGCCAGCACAGCGACGGTTACGGCCAGAGCCACGGTCAGACCCCAGATCTGATGGATGGTGCCTGTGCTGGGGTCAGTGTACATGAAACTATGGGTCGGGCCGAAGACGCTGGGCACAGGATAGCTGGAGTGATCCGCCTCTTTAGTGAAAAACTCCAGAGGAAGAGTGAACACCTCGCTCACCTCATCTGTGTTTGGACTGGCTTTGAAGGAGTCCTCGATGAAAGCCACAACTGGAGTGATCAGAAGACCAGTCTGTGGTAACCAGTTGAGACGTTATAATTGGCCAAAGCAGACAATTTATTAGAGACACGCACACAGACAAAAAAACAACAAAAACGCTTCCTGTATTCTGGCACACTAAATGATTTAGTGGTTGTCTGCATTTTAATAAAATTATTATACTATTTTTTTTCATTGCAAATAATTTTATATTACAAATATTCAAATAAAATATACATTATAATCAATATATATTAGAATAATTTATTAAAATGCAAGCAGATACTAGAAAAAATAATGTATTTATTGAGCTAATACTAGTAATGCATGAGTAATATTAATGTATTTGTATGTATAATTATAATAATTTTCATTCAAAATTAGCTGATAATATAGTTTGTAAAGAAGTCTCTATATGCTCACCAAGGCTGCATTTATTTGATCAAATATACAGTAAAAACAGTAATATTGTAAAATCTGTTATCTATACTAATATATTGTAAAATCTAATTTATTCCTGTGATATAAAGCTGGATTTTCAGCATCATTACTCCAGTCTTCAGTGTCACATGAACCTTCAGAAATCATTCTAATATGTTGATATGCTCAAGAAACATTTCTGATCATTATCAAGGTTGAATATTTTGCCCAATATTTTTGTGGAAACGTCATACTTTTGTTCCCCAGGAATCTATGATGAACAGAAAGTTCACAAGAACAGCATTTACTAGATTTTTTTTTCTTAACAATTATAAATGACATTACTGTCAACTTTGATCAATTTATTGTGTCCAATTTTTGAATGGTACTCCAAACTTTTGAATGGTATTGTATATAACAATATTAAAATAATTTATTACAATTCATGTAGGCACCAGAATTACGTGTGTATGAAGTGTTCTAATATAATTATTTTTATTATATAATTATATATTTTTTTATTTACATTTAATTATATAATTATTTTATATTTTATTCATATTAATATTTACATATATAATTATTTTATGTTATATAATAATTTTTAATCATATTAAAATAATACATATGTAATATATGTAAAAACAGTAAGTTTATATTTATATTTTGTTACAAATATGCATATTTTGTAATTATGTATATAATGCATTATAACTGTACATATAAATGCATATTATTATTATTATATCAGAAGAGTGTCGGTGAACCTTGTTTAAGATGGTGAAGAGTTTGCAGATGACCTGCACTCTGTCAGGAGGAAGGCCGATCTCCTCCTCAGAAATCAGTATTATAGAAATTAAATATTGGTTTAGTTATCACCAAAACTCTGCACGAGCCTATGGCAACACAGCCTGCCAGAGCTAGTTTGGGCGGGGCATCTGGCTATATAAGCATGCACTTCGCCATAGGATCCTCAGGTTACTTCAACTGAAGCGATGACCGAGTCGTGCAGCTACATAGCACTGCCAGCAATGCAGTACTCGTTCCCGTATCTCAGATAACCAAGGTTACGTTAGTAACCGAGTATGTTCCCTATCAATACTTCACTCGAACTGCGTCTGCTAAGATGCTTTGGGGAACCAGTACAATCCCGCCGTGCTATGTTAGAGGAACGACCAATGCTTGAACTTGCCTTGAGCACCAAGGGCCCAGAGGGACCAAGTAATTGCAGGGAAGCCCCACAGGAAGCGATAGGGCCCAACTCACAGAGGCCGGCCCAGCACTAAGTAATCGTTCCAAGAAAAGTCGTACAGTCTCAGAACCCATGGGGGCCAACCTGGTAAATGTGGACAGCGAGGCCCAGCCGGCCGCTGCACAAATTTCTGCAATGGAAAATCCGCTAGACCAAGCCCAGGAAGAGGTAACTTATGTTGAGTGGGCTCTTACTCCCATGGGGCATTGTAGACCCAAAGAAGAGTACGCTAGCTTGATAGCATCAATTATCCATTTGGAAAGACCCTGACTGGGCAGAGTAGATTCAGCTCTTGGTCCTGCTCCGAAGGAGGAAGCACCGAAAGAGCTATCACCTGTGCTCTGAATGGAGTCGAGAGCACTTCAGGTACAACGATATCCGTTGGCCGGGACAAGCGATTAGTCAACAGAAGGACGGCAACGCGTGAGTGTTTTGCATAATACTTGTTACAGATCTGTTGTTTAAATTATTACTTGCTGCTAGGAAGGAATATTTTGTTTTCTACCTATTTATACTTTGTATTTTCGTTGGAGTTTATATTTTTGATTGCACTTACTGGTAGTTCTAATAATTGCCCTCGGCTTAGAAGGAGCCTGTGTTGTTATCTGTGTTGTTATTTGCATTGCTCCCTTCCTGTGCTTAAGTGCGAACTGTAGTTTAGATTGGACGATTTGCCCTGCTATAGGCTATTGGCTGTGCTAATTAGAAGGTGGCCACAGCTGTTTCACTTTACTGTGTATTTATTTGATGCTTGTGCGCTGACGCAGAAGCATCAGCGGAAGTGTTCAGCCCTTCTCGTGTGAAGACCAATGAGGGTAAAGACCTGCAACTTTACCTGTGCGACTTCACCGAGCTACGAACTCGCCATCACACTTAAGTATACAGTATATTTTTTTATCTTCTCTTTACACACTCTCCTTACCTGTCCTCTCTTTTCCATTTCTATCATGTGTTTCCAAACCATTCCGCCTGTCTCTTGACAACGCTCTAACATCACACGCAGACGCCAACGCAATCTTGCTAACCTCTTAGCATATTGGGCTTGACTGAGACCTGGATTCGTCCAGAAGACTCCACAACCCCAGCTGCTCTAGCTAACAATTTCTCTTTCTCTCACACCCCCCGTCAGGTTGGCCGGGGTGGGGGCACTGGTCTGCTCATTTCTAACAATTGGAAATACTCAACCCACTCTCCCCTATGCAATTATACCTCCTTTGAATATCATGCAATCACTGTAACAGCTCCTATAAAACTCTAGGTTGTGGTAATCTACCTCCCCCCTGGCCAAATTCTAGCCACCTTCCTAGAGGAGCTGGACGGGCTGCTGTCCTCATTCCCGGAGGATGGCAGTCCACTTTTATTCTTTGGTGACTTCAACATTCATCTGGACAAGCCTTATGCTACAGACTTCCATTCACCCCTTGCTTCATTTGATCTCAAACGACTTACCACCACGAGCACGCACAAATCAGGCAACCAACTTGACTTAATTTACACACGCAGTGTGTAATACTTATGTATTGCAGACAACATTTCGGTAAAACCCCTACACATCTCTGACCATTTTTTCATTACATTTCAACTACAGTTTGTTACTTGTGCACCACCAACCCCTATACCGGTTACTTTTAGACGAAACCTGCGCTCCCTTTCACCCTCCCATCTTTCCTCTGTACTATCCTCCTTTCTTCCCTCACCTATTCATTTCAGTTCATAGCGAAAACTCTCAAACGATTTGTTTTCAACCAGGTATCATTGTTTCTTAACTAGAAAAGCTAGTTCATGCATTCACGACCTCTAGACTGGACTATTGTAATGCACTGCTAGGTGGTTGTCCTGCATCTTCAGTAAACAAGCTGCAGGTAGTCCAAAATGCAGCGGCTAGTGTGCTTACCAGGTCAAGAAAATATGATCATATTACCCCAATTTTACAGTCTCTGCACTGGCTACCTTTTAAGTTCTGTATCAGTTACAAAATATTATTACTTACCTATAAGGCCCTTAATGGGTTAGCTCCTGCGTACCTAACTAGTCTTCTACCACGCTACAATCCATCACGTTCCCTAAGGTTGCAAAACTCTGGACTTTTGGTAGCATCTAGGATAGCAACTAAGTTTGATTGCATCATATAATAATTGTTGTTAATATTGTTCATCGTCTGTTTTATTACGTCTTTAACTGATTACGTCTTTGATTTTTCCGTACATTTCTGCCATATGTACATTAACTGACAGTCACCACTGATAAGCTACCACTAAATATTGTAGAAACTTAATTTGCTGTAAAGTTGCTTTGCAACGATTTGTATCGTGAAAAGCGCTATACAAATAAACTTGAATTGAATTGACTGTGGTCTAATAAATCTATTTAGATTTATTAGACTGTATTTATTGACTGTAATTGGGCATCTGAATAAAAAAAATAATAATAATAACATGCTTTACTATTTTTTCTGCCTTTCTTGTAAAACAGTACATTTGAAAATTCTTTGATAACAACAATTATATTTTAGCATTATTTTAGCAAATACTAATGTGTGCAAACCTTACAGTGGGTGGTGGTCTAATAAATTTGTTAAAGGGGTCCTATTTTGCTCTCTTACAAAGTCTTGATTTTGTTTTGGGGGTGTACTAGAACAGTGTTTCCCAACCTTTTTTCAGTTGCGGCACCCTTTGGAAATTTTAACAAACTTGTGGCACCCTACAAAATTAATTTTGTCAAAATATTTACATTTCTATCTTCGATATGATAATTTGAAAAGTATAGATATTCTGTACAACAGGGAAGAACTGCAGAATATAATGTCATACAGATATTTTTAATATCATTAATAATTTTTGTCCATCAATGGTGGCAATCAGTAGGCTAATTTCTAATGAAGAGACCAATTTATATGACAGATTTTAATGTAGGCTTTTATACATATGTAAACATTATTTAATTACCAATATAACTAGCGATCTCACAAATTTTTGCTCACTCAGTGTTTTTTTTATTTTACAGTGGGGTAATTTTGGTGCAGTAGCACGAGATAGCTTGATTTCAAACTTTGAATTGAATAAAAAATGACAAGTAAGCAGTCAGTAATAAAATAAGAACAAATAAAGAAATTAATAATGATAGCACAAATAAAAAATAATGACAGGCCTGCGAATTAAATAAATTGCTTTTTAGTTTTTCATGTAGATCTAACAGTAGGGTTAAGATTTTTTTTTACCAATTATCCAAATAATGTTTAGGCCTAGAAAGCTATTATTATCAGAACACGCGAGCATAACATAGCGGTTAGCAGATCAATGAATGAGAGGGCAGCGTTACCAGAGTTGCCCATATACCACACCATGTTACAACACAGTAGGGCTATTGCAGACAGAAACAATACTGTACTACATCGATGTTTCCTGTCGGCTCAATTTTTGAGTGGACTTTGCTGTTCCGATTCACATGA